CTGTTTTCTCCTCCACAGACGCTGCCAGACCTGCTGAGCTTTTCCAGTAACTTTGTGTTTGATCGGAAAGATATGATTGCACTAGAGATTCATCAGGATGTTGCCTCAGTTATGAGGAGAGACTGAATTGGTTGGGCTTATTCTCCTTGAAACAAAGGAGGATGATGGTGGAACTGATTGAGGTAAACCACATTATAAGAGGCATAGACAAAACAGATTGAAGAAGCTCTTCCCCAAGGCAGATGTGTCTAACGTCAGTGGGCATAAGCTTAAGGAGTAAACAATTTACAGGAGATTTGAGAAAACACAATTCACCCAGATGGTGGTAGATATTTGGAACGTGCTGCCTGAGAGGGTGGTGGAGGCAGGTATTCTCACAACATTTAAGAAGTATCTGGATGAGTACATAAAATGTCAGGGCATAGTCAGCTATGGACCATGTGCAGGCAAACATGATGAGTATAGGTTGGTGTTTGTTAGTCAATATTGGCACGTTGAGAACAGTTCTAGAGTACTCTGTCCTGGTCTGGTTGCCGAGTTATATAGAAAGGATATTACTAAGCTGGAGAGGGTTCAGAAGACTTTATCAGGATGCTGCCGGGTATGGAAGGATTGAGTTATAAAGAAAGGCGGGATAGGCCGGGACTTTTTTCATTGGAGCGTAGGAGGTAGAGAGGAGGCATTATAAAAGTTTACAAAATTATGAAGGGTATTGATAGGGTTAATGGTAGGTGTCCTTTCCCTAGGGGTTCAGATGGAGCAGAATTTGTAAGGAGTATCCAGAAGGGTTTTCTCGAGCAGTATGTAAATAGTCCAACTCAGGAAGGGGCCATACTGGACCTGGTGTTGGGGAATGAGCCCGGCCAGGTGGTTGAAGTTTCAGTAGGGGATTACTTTGGGAATAGTGATCACAATTCCGTAAGTTTTAGAATACTGATGGACAAAGATGAGAGTGGTCCTAAAAGAAGAATGCTGAACTGGGGGAAACGCCAACTATAGCAAAATTCGACAGGAGCTGGGGAATGTGGATTGGGAGCAGCTGTTTGAGGGTAAATCCACATTTGATATGTGGGAGGCTTTTAAACAGAGGTTGATTAGAGTGCAGGACGGACATGTCCCTGTGAAAATGAGGGATAGAAAGAGCAAGATTAGGGAACCATGGATGACAGGTGAAATTGTGAGACTAGCAAAGAGGAAAAAGGAAGCATACATAAGGTCTAGGCGACTGAAAACAGACAAAACTTTGGAGGAATATCGGGAAAGTTGGACCATACTGAAACGAGGAATTAAGAGGGCTAAAAGGGGTCATTAGATATCTTTAGCAAACAGGGTTAAGGAAAATCCCAAAGCCTTTTATTCATACATAAGGAGCAAGAGGGTAACTGGAGAAAGGGTTGGCCCACTCAAGGACAAAGGAGGGAAGTTATGCGAGGAGTCAGAGAAAATGAATGAGATTCTTAATGAGTACTTCGTTCGGTATTCACTAAGGAGAGGGGCATGACGAATGTTGAGGTTAAGGATAGATGTTTGATTACTCTAGGTCAAGTTGGCATAAGGAGGGGGGGAGTGTTGGGTATTCTAAAAGGCACTGGGGTGGACAAGTCC